ACAAATATTGAAATAATAGAGGCTTAAGTAAACTGGTCCACTATTTGCTTTTTACTACTCCTAAAATGAAGCTGACAAAATCATTTGATGCTGAATCATGAACCACTCTATTGTTTCATATCAAGTAACTGCATTGGACTCCAACTAAAAAAAAAAAAAGACCAGTTGAAAAAAGAAGAAGCTGCAATTTATGATATATCATAGGAAGGCAAAGTTTTCATCCCCAAAATTTGTATCAATTGCCAAGTAAATCTGCTGGGATATATATTTATTATATATCCATCAAACATATCAAATTGTTCCACTTGCCAAAGTTTTAGAATTGTGTCCCTAATGTTTGGTACTAAAGGTGAATATATCTTGTGAAAATAATCTTGTGTCTATTTAGGGACAGGTTTTATTTGTCTCACCATGTCAAGAAGATAGGAAAGTAGACTGGACAAAGCTGAGATATTAAGATCTGACCTATGTTGGACATTAGTAGTAGGATTTTGAACATATTGAAGAATAGAAATATCATCTGTAACAAGTATTTACAAGTGGCTGTAAATTATAACAGACTACAATACAAGTCTGGGCTGCTTGGTAAACCACTGGATTTTTCCAAATATATTATTTCCCGCTCTCATTCTCATTTTCAAGTATGAAAATGAGATATATGCTAGTATTCTCCATTTTAAAAAAATACCTCGTATAAAATAAAAGTTCTTAACACTTAATTTTTAAAAATCTGTCCACTTCTTTAGTGCCCTTTCTTGTCGTTCATATTAGTGTTTCCAAATCAGACAGAAGGAAATCGGGTGTGTATGTGTGTGTGCCATTGGTTGTGTACAACTATAATCTTCCAGGACAAAAGGTGGAATAAGCACTTACGTTTTGCTATATTTAGATTGAATTGAATGGAATGAAACGTTATCAAAGAAAACCATCTGCAGCACTCTTGATGACTGGAAAAAGAAAACCTATAGATTTTGATCACCTTTTTGCACTGCTTGTGCATGAGGTTCAATGTTTATTGAAGGCATTACTAATCCCATTCCATAGGTCAACTTTTATCTGCTTAACATTGCAAAATGTCATTCACTACTTCTTCCAATGCTGCGAGGATAATTTCTTATAACTCTTTAGAAAATGGAAACATAGAAGCCTCAATCAGGCACATAAGTAAGAGATAATAATTCACATGTTCTGAATGCCAATTATTAAAATGGCTTTTGTTCTAATTATGAAGAATAGTAAGAATTCATTAAACTGAGGATTATTTAGCAAGAACTGGTATAATGGCTGTGCCTATAAGATCAAGTTAAGTAAATATCTAGCAAAGTGTTTTGTGGCTTGAAAAACTGTTGGATAGAGATGTATAAATAATGGATTGTCAAGAGACAAAGTCAGCATCCTTGGGACAGAGGACAAAATTAGAGTTACCGTTCGTTCTGTTAATGCTATAAACTTCTAAGACTAAGCAGTTCATCATCAACAGAGTCACTTTAATCAAATTAAAAAAAGAAAGGACAATTAACTAATATTTAAAGTGGCCTGTTATAGTATTGAATGCTGTAATAGAACATGGATACTAACCTTTCCAAATGTATGAAAGGATTTACAGTGGGTTGATTGGGAAGTGGCAGAGGAAAAAAAAAGAGGGTGATAGTTATGGAACAAGAGACAACAATGGCAAAAACAGATCATTGAGTAGAAAAACTCCCAGGATCTCTTATTCTGAACCATCCTGACTTATACTGTTAGGAGTACATGAACATCTGGAAATATATCCATTCTATATCCCTCATTTTAAATATTATAGTCTTTGTGTTCTTCAATTTAAGATACTTTGGCTGAGATGTTACTCTTAAATATCTAAATTGTCTGTATTATCCCCAAGGGTTAGATAGAGCTATTATTATTGTTGTTGATATGGTTAATTTCACAGTCATTCAGATGTTTAGACTGGATCTGGCATTTTTGTCCACCTAATTAGTCCTTATCAGTATTATTTTTCAGAGTAAAGGAGTATTTATTAAATTATTTTCATATCATAAATGTTTGGGGACTCAATGAACAATCTCAAAATTCATGAAGGGGCCAATGAGGTAAAGAATTTGGTAATTCTTGATCTGACTGCACTTCATATTAGGATTGATCATGGCTCTAAGTTACAAGGAGGGTAGTAAGCAGTGGTGAAATTCAAACATTTTCCCTACCGGTCATGTGACTGGGTGGGCATGGCTTAGTGGTCATGTGACTGGGAAAACCAACTATCACACTTTATACAAAAATCACACAAAAGCTACACAACTGCCCAATTTTTGTTAAAATTCTCATTAATATATAAACCTGTGATGGCTAACCTGGCACACGTAGCCATATCAGTGGGCACGCGAGCTCAGCTCCGTGCATTCACATACATTCACATGTCAGCCAGCTGATTTTTGGGCCTTTTGGGTCCACCAGAAGTCAAGAAAAAGGCTGTTTCCGGTCTCCGGAGGGCCTCTGGGGGAGTAGGAAGGCCATTTTTGCCTTCCCCAGCTTCCTAGAAAGGCTCTGGAGCCTGGGGAGAGCGAAAAACGGGCCTACCATGCCAAAAGTGGGGCGAGCGCAGGGAGGTTGCACACACATGCACGGGGGGGGGGGCGCATAGAATTATGGGTGTGGGCATGTGTGCGAGCGACCCCCCCCCCCACACTTCCCCTACTTTTGGCACGCGATGGCAAAAAGGTTAGCCATCACTGATATAAACCATCAATACCATATACCTTGGTATTTATTTAATACAATCCTATTAATATAACTATAAAAGCTATAGCTGACAGTAGCTGACAATTTAGATAATGGCAAATTTAACTGAAAATTGTGTTTATAAATTTGATTCATAAATTATATAAACCCACTTAATGATAGTTAGTGCAGTCATATTTTAGAGCATTGTTCAGAGAAAATTAAACCATTTTTTGTCACATTAAAACCAATGATTTATAAGTAGCATCTTATAGTAGCATTGGTTTGTCCTTAGTGTCCATTGTAGGAGATGACCAGGCAGAGCCTGAAGGTGGGATCAAACATGTCATCAGTTTAGAATCCTTATTCAACCACAAGAAACTGAAGTCTAGTCCCCTGTAAATTCCGTGGGCTCTTGTTTAGCGCCAATTTGACTTGACCATTAGTAGATCGGATTCTTGTGCTTGGGTAGCATGTAATAAACTTTTAGTGCTTTGAATTCAATTCCTGTTCCTGGTTACTTGCTTCTGACAGCTACTCCAATAGCTACTTAAAGATAATCGTAAAGCTTTGGTGCATTTCTTTATTGTGGGCTTTCATTTTCAGACATTTTCCATCAGTAAGACTATTCTATCAATAAAACTTAATAGTGGGTAAAATGACCTAGAGCAACTCATGTTATGATCACAGTAACTGCTTTGACATCAGAAAGAAGACTGATCCACAATGTTTTACTTTGCTACAATCCCACTGAGAATTTAATTCATTAGTCACAATGTCTAAGAGTTTAACTAAATTGAACAATAGAGTTTATTTGGCCTGCACTGATACTTGGATTCCAGGCTGTTGTTCATGTGTGGATAATCTAAAATACGTTCTGCCACTTGTTTACAAAAATGTAAACTGCAGATCTTAAATAGTCCACTTTGAAAAAAATAAGCCATAACAATATCCGATACATTTGATTTGGATCGTTTTCACAAGAAAAAACAAAAAACTTTCCATCCAGTTGTTATGCAGATGGTTTTGTATGTGGGAAAGGGAACTTTTTATTCAGGTTTCTCCATGTAACATGATTTACTTGAGTGCCAGTTTGGCATTGTTTATAGAGCTATTGAAAAGGTTATGGTATTGTTTAATATTCCTAGGAACATGACACAGCATAAAATTCCACAGTTTCATAAGATGCTATAGAATCTGAAATGTGTGCTTATGCATTTAGATAGCAGGAGTTCTAAAATGAACTCACAGATGGGGGTATAAATCTAATATGCCTGTAGCTGCTTTTTAAACTCTCTTCATAAAATATGTGCAGTAGCTCTAGCAAATCTTGTCATGCTATTTTTGTATAGAAGACTATGTGATTTTTAATGCATGAGAATTTCTGTTTATATATTCAACAGAACACTAACTGAGAAGCAGACAAAATTGCTCTGTTTTATATTCATTATTGTCATTAATGATTTTTAGATATATCATTTTCAATCTATTTTTTGATAAATTCATTTCTTTGCCATTAATCAGTAAGCTTCAAGTGAGTATATATTTGCATATTTTCTTCCCATCTAAAATCAACAGAAATTTGATTTTCCAAAATAAAATAAGTAATTTAATAGTGTTAATTTTTTTAAAAATTGTATTATATATTATATTAATATATATATATATATATATATATATATATATAATATATATATATATATATATATATATATATATATATATATCTGATACACCACAATCATTCTTTTCTTCTTTCTCTTTTGTCTCCTTTATCTGATAAACAAAGACCTTTGTGTTATCTTTTTGAAAATGCACATTTATTATTATATATATTTTGGTGAACTGTAGTTGATTTTAAACTAAGGTGGTGTTATACCTAATAGTCCAATAGTTTACCTAAATATTAACACAAAACATTCAAGATATTGTTATAATGAGAATTAAATAATATCAACTCATTCTATCTGTAGTTGTGCTTTTTCTATTTATAATCAAAAGATTATGTTGCTTTAAACCTAAAATAAGTCAAAAATTTAAAAATCCATATTTCATATGATTGTCCAAACTTACAAGAGGAATATACTATAATACATTTAGTTCAATAAAACTTTAAAATGATTTAAACAGCCCATTCTGTTGTGATAGAAACTGAAAACAAGTGTATCACATATTTTCTTACTCAGTAGTGCTTAGCAAATAATTTTCTTGATAATGATTCTAGAGTATGAAAAATCTTGGGACAATTTAATTAATTAGCTAAAGTGTACCATACTAACGAAAGTTTACTTATATTTCTTGGGTTGCTCCTATTACCCTCTGGTCTTTGTCTTATGTTTCTTCTATAGCAGTGTACATTGTGAATCACTGGTATCCAAGACCGAATGATGTGAAAAATCTATTGCAATTTATTAAAAAGTTCATGGTATTCCCTATTTGGAAAGTAACTGCTCATGAAAAGACATTTTGTGTAATAATGAGTTCTTATAGAGAACTCACATGTCAATCCTCACTAGGACCTTGTGTTATCTTAATTCATTCACAAGGAAATACATTTAGTATACTTTAAAACTGCTTCCTTGCCCATTCATTTGGATGAGGCATCTATGGATTTCAGTCTGAATTATTTCCTGCGATCCAGACTCAAGCAGTACATTAGATGCAGCAAAAATGTAAGGGATGAATGACATAAATATAATTGCAGCCAACAATGGGGGGAAAAGTTCAAACACAATATTTGGATATCATAACTATGCTATATTCAAACTCCATTATTGACGCTGGATCACAACTTTGAGAATCCAAGTGCTGAAAACCTTGGACAAACTCTGCAGGAACTTTGCCCTTAATCAATACAGGCCACTGTATTGGATGTTTGAGGAAGGAAGGAAGGAAGGAAGGAAGGAAGGAAGGAAGGAAGGAAGGAAGGAAGGATAGTTTTTTTAACCTTGTTTGACCAGGGCATTTCTCCAGCATCCACTATGATGTATGAAACCAGTCAGATTAACAGATAAATAGCATGTCTATAAGTATTTAGTGCTAGACTGAAAACAGATCCACTGTTCCATATGCTCAACTGCAAGATAATTAAAAGTATTGAGAATTTACAATTGCAAGGAAGAGGAGAGATTGTTGAAATTATGTGGCTTTCTATCCAATTGGAAATATGGCTTCATCTCCACTTCCACTGTCTTCCACGCTCCTGAGAATTCAGTTCCTGTAAGAGATATGTTAGTGTGAGATTTTTGTAGCTGTCCCTCAATAGTGAGGACAGAAGAACAACTGACAATAACAACTTCTAGGTCTGTTTTCACCAGGAATGAGTTGGATTGCTATATGTTGATTATGGGTTGTCCTCCCTCCCTCCCTCCCTCCTTCCCAAACTATTCTGTGGTGGAATGGATGGAAATCAATCAAGGGAAGAATCAATCTAGAACTAAGGAGAATTTCCTAACCGTGAGAACAATTAATCAGTGGAACAATTTGCAAAACTTCCAGCGTTATTGGGTGCTCCAACACTGGAGGTTAACGGGGCTCTGACTAACAGGATTCACACAAAGAAAGGGGTAAGGCAAGAGTGTATCCTAGCCCCATTACTATTTAGCTTATATATCAATGACTTGCCAGGGTTAATGAAGGACTCATGGTACACATGCCGAAGATCCTAAATACTTACTGTAACAGCTTGCTTTATGCGGATTATATAATTTTATTATCATATTCGCTAGTAGGATTATGTAGGCTATTAAGAAGATTCAGCTCTTATTGCCAGGATAACTCCCTAGCCATTAATAAATCTAAATCGAAAATAATGGTGTTTGGAAAACATCATCAGAGACATAAGTGGCAATTAGATGGTGAACCAATTGAACAGGTTAACACCTTTGTATATTTAGGTGTAACCTTTTCCAAGACTGGATCTTGGGTTTGCCATCATCAATGGAGTACACTTAGAGGAAATGCCTGTTTGAATTTACTGCTTAAATTAAAGAACCATAGTTACCCAGGGTCCCCAGCCCCATTAATTAAAATATACAAAGCTACGGTTACCCCTATGCTCTTGTATGGAGCAGAGGTTTGGGGTCTATATTCAACCACAGCCCCAGAACATTTGAGATGTATTCTGGGTGTAGATCTAAGAACATCTGCTGCAGCAGTTAGGGTTGAATTGGGAATTCATACAATTCATGCACTATCCAAAATTACAGCATATAACTACTGGTGCAAAGTCAATGAAATGGAGACTGATAGACTCCCCAAGTTATGTCTACTAGAGCAAATAAAATTACAATCACAAATCTCCTGGATCACCAAACTAACAAATTTTGTAAGAATCTGTGGCCTTCCTGTCTCTTGCATAACAGGAGAAAATTCAAAAAAAGAGCTGCCCAAAGAATTAAGGATATAGAAGCACAAAATGATATAGCTATCCTTAGTAAGGTAGGTAACTTGAAATGGCTGAGCAAATACAAACATACTTTTCAAGTAGACAGCTATTTGAAGTTACAACTGCCAAAACATCTTAGGGAGATATTTACACGAGCGAGATTTGAACAGCTTGACCCAATGGTCAGATATGGGAGATTCTATACCCTACAATGAGTGTCTCTGCATTTGCGGAACAGCAGAGGTAGAAGACCTGGCTCACATCCTATTTGACTGTTGCTTGTATAAGAGGGTGAGAGACAGCTACCTTGGTCCATATACCAAACGAATAACCCACTGGGATCCCCATATCAAAACAACTTACTTTATGTGCAGCCAGAACCTGAAAATAACATTTAACACAGCACAGTATTTAAACAAAATGGTTGGGTTGAGATCTGCATATGTGGGACTGATTGGGGTAGATTGTAAGGGTAACACCGAAATATAATTTTACGTCATTTTATTCTATTTTATATTATATCGTATCTTATACTTTAACTATTGTATTTATCCTACTCTTAATTTAAATTGTTTGTATAAGATTTTATTGGTGATATGTGTTTGTACCTTGTGCTTTCATCTGGCCTATAGGCTAATCAAAGCTATCATTTTAAAGTGTATTTTATTCCAATTTCATTTTAAATTGTTTTTATCAGATTTTAGTAATAATTTGTGTCTGGAATTCTGCACTTTGATATGGCCCAAGGATTAATCAATAAAGTAAAGTGAAAGTGTAATTAATCAGTGGAACAACTTGCAAAACTTCCAGAAGTTATTGGGTGCTCCAACACTGGAAGTTTTTAGCAAAAGATTGGACAGTCATTTGTCTGAAATGGTATAGGGTCTCCTGCTTGAGCAGGAGGTGGGACTACAAGACCTCCAAGGTCCCTTCCAACTCTATTATTCTGTTATTGTAAATCGCCCATTCTTTATTTTCTCATTTTCTCTTCTTTCTTTATTTTCTCACTGCATCTTCTGTCCCCAACTTCTTTGTTTTCCTGGCCAATAAGCTATCTAAAAAGGAACAGAGGTCTAAGTTATTTTCAGAAGTTTTTTTTTTTTAAAGAAATGAACAAAGGGCTACTAAAAAATAAGACAATGGCTTTAGGATTATATTCTCGTATTCTGCAGTAATTTCAGATTGTATTGAAGATTCCCCTAAGGCTGTCTAGGATGAGAAAATGTGTGTAAACATATTTCCACATCTTGCTGAAAATATAAAGTTAAGTTGTTATTCAGACCTGTAAGTACTTTCACAATACAGGCATAGTTAAGTCATTTCTGGACAAGAGAGTGACCAATAGGAGTTATTACTTTAATTATGTTAACAAATTAAAACTATCTGGTCCAAAATGAATTAGTTCAGTGAAATGAAGAAATCCTCAGTGGAGGGATATAACAATTCAGTAATAAATAATTCAACGTCAATGAATTTTCACTTGGGATCTTAGCTATTTATCTTTAAATTCTATTAGTCTTCTTTTAATATGAAGTGTCTTAATTTTAGTCTTTTTTAAAACTGCTAATCAATCTCAACTAATGCAATAGCTTAATACAAAGCAAACTGATACTCGGAAATTGTCACTGACAATAATGAAAATGATAGGACATTTTTAATCAAAGGTTCATTGTTAAAAGTAGCATGAAAAAGAAATTAGAAGATATTGGAATTGTTAATCATGAGATAGCACAAAATTAAATCATAAACCTTTCTGCGGTTATGGTTAGGGACTGCTAAGTATTAGGTACAGTAGTACATGCATAGATGTGCCTGTGGTTTGGCATTTAAAAAATCTAACCATATTAATTATAATATTAATATCAGTTGAGAAAAGTGAGTATGCTTGGATTTCCAACTATATCCTTATATTTATAAAGTCTAATTAATGCTTTGTGTTAATCTATTTTTAAATGTTGCCCATGTTTTATGAGAAAGTCAGCCTTAGGTAATCATAAGCACAATCAAATCTTATTGTTCAGTTGTGCATAAGTGCTATACAGTCAAGATATGTAATAAATAATTAATTTATGTGCAGTTAGTAGTACAGTATTTCAGACATTATTTAGGAAATGGTTTTATACACTACTGAATTAGAATTTCACTATATTTAAATCCATGTCTTTTGGCTATGTTCACACAACATGCTTACTCTAATTAGCCATTAACACTGTCCAATCTAGGGCGACAAATCTGACCTGCAAAAATTGGGTCATGGATGAAATAAATAGAATAAAATAACAGAGTTGGAAGAGACCTTGGAGGTCATCTAGTCCAATCCCCCTTAGGAAGGGAGCCCTATACCATAAGTATAGTTCTATCTCATTCTTTTTATGTTTTGTCTCCATGACTACAAGGATTTAAAAAATGTTATTCCTATTGACTTGGTTATCCTGGTCATACATTACTATTACACAGGGCTCAGTTAGTTTCTTAACTGTCCTAGCTGTCCTAATCATATTACATTCATGTACTCCTGTAATGGGCAAAACTCATTGAAGAAGAAAGAAAAGGATGTAATGTTTTAAATTAAATGATTTAAGATTAACTAGTATGCAAATTAAAGGAACTGACAATAAATTAAAAGCTTCTATTATAATCAAGCTCAAAAACTCCCTCCAGGAAATTAAAATGGTTAGAAAAAAGACAGAGAGAAAGTACTTAATTTACTGTTACAAAATCAGGAATCCCCTTCTGATTGGTATGTGTTTAGGCTGTTCTTTATCTCTAGAATTAGTTGCACTTGTCATCTGCGTTCATCCTTGATAGCATGTTTAATCATTTATAAATTGCTTGTTGATTTAAGTTATTATTTGCATGACATTCAGGACTAGATCCTCACAGGATACCTTACAAATTAAGCATTTAGGATATAATAAGTATACAGCTAGTCAACCAGACTCAGGTTTTAAAACATAGGTCCAAGTTGAATAAAAGAATTTTAGAAGCTTTTGAAAAACCACTAAAGGCCAGCCAGGAGCAATTCTTGGGGAATACCTTCCAAAAGTAGTAGTCTGTCACCTGATTTTTTTTTTTTTTTAAAGATAGTTATCTTTGAGTCAGAGGTATCTACAGAGAGGGAATCAAAAAGTCAAGAGAACAGCCAACTATGTAGTTGAAACCTTGTCCTGTTTTATATGCATTATAATTTATTTAGAACAGAGTGGGGCTTCCTTCGTCATGGAATTGACACTACTGCAGATATTCCTGCCTTAAATTAAGTGTGGATTACATAATCATTTAATCTCCAGACAGAATTGTATTGAATGATGAAAAAGTTCTTTTCAAGGACTATCACTGCTTTAAAAGCTAAAGCCTGTTCTTTATTATTTAATAGAACAGAATATAATAGATTTAAGTTAGATAAATTAAAGTTAAATATTAGAAACAGTTCTATAGTGGACACTATTACTTCCCTTTACTGATGATATTTAAGCTATTTGTTTATTTATTTAATTAAAAATGCACATGGCTCACTTTGAATAAGTCTGAGCAATTTACATCAATCAGTTATGCTTTAATTTAGTGAGGCATGAAGACAATGATCTACCACCTAGGATAAATAAAGATTTATATGAAAAAAATGTTCATATTAAACTTACAAGTTCGGTTTGTAGTCAAATATAGTAGTGCATGTTACAATTTGAATCAGTGCATTTCTTTTGCAAGTTCATTTTACTGCTGGAATATACATTCCTATAAAAGAAGAAATTTGTAAGTGTATTTACTAGTAGTTTTTTTTTCTTTAGTTAAAACTACTAAATGAAATATAAGTCTGTATTTATTTCTTTTATGAATATGAAATTTTGGCTTACAAAATTATATGCCAGATTGCAAGGCTCATAGTGTCTTTAAGAAATCTAATCAGAAACTTGACTTTACATTGGACGTCTTCAGTGGAAAGCCACCATATCTAAATCTATAGAAAGCATGGCACTTTTTATGTAGCAGCATGTTTATATGAATAGAAAATATAGGCAATTAGGAAATTCGATGCACCATTCTAAGAGTCAAAATTTGGAAATTTGAATTCTGAGTCATAATGTGGGTGTATCTTGTGCAATTTTGGTTAGGTTGACTGACAATAGGCATGCAAGAGTTTTCCCATCTTCACCATCATCACCAGAGATCACCAGATCTGGCCAAAAGCGAGATCTGAGATTCTGTATTGGTTAGATCCATTTTCTGGCAGTCAGCTTTTAGTACAAATAAGATTTTGAAAAACAAACAAACAAGGGCGTCATTAAGATATTTCTTTGATCATGTCCATCCAGTTCTTGCTCAAATGACCTCTTTGCCCACTTCAGCAGATCAGGAATTCTTCACTTATGGAATCAAATATATTTTGTTTTTGTCTCAATCAGCATATTTTGATGGCTGTGCAATTGAGATGTTACGTTATATTTATTTATATCAAATAATACAATGTCAGAAGTCATTCGTGATATTATCACTATAAGGACATAAAATACGAATGGATATAAAAAGCAAGTATTCCTTCAAAGAGGAATATATGTACTTATGACAATACGACATCAACATTTACTGCAGTAGCATGTATCTTTAAGCTAAATATAATATCTGTTAATCTAATTGTCTTTTTTATAATTTCTGCAAAATGTCAGTTTTCATTAGCAGGAGGTTATATTAAATCTTATAATTGTCTGAAATAATATATGTAGGCCAAATAGCCAGGAATGTGTCTTGAGTAAAATACATTATAATGGACAGCACATAAAGAATATCAAATAGATTGTATTTTAGACAGGTGGTGCCCATGGAATTTATATATATTTGAAATTTCTCACCTCATGTCTTTCTGTGGTCTTGTATTACAGCACTGGAGACATTCCAGAATTACTCAGCAAAATACTAATATATATTAGGAGAGAAAAGATATTGCTTTGAGATTTCTTTTAAATAGCTGGATACGCTGAAGCAAATGTGAACTATGCATTCTTCATTGTCATGGGATCGAGAATCAAATCATATCATTTTTAAGAGAACCTGAGCATGCCATCAGAATATTAGTGATTTCCAATATACTGCAAAATATTAAGGTTCCTAGAATTTAAATCTGCTAGAAATATGGAAAGCTTACAGTGCTGTTGTTGAATAACTCAGCAGGGAGAACCATTTCAGACTTCTAGGAACTGTATACTATATTATGTAATGATCATGTCAGATCAATAAGCAAGCTTGAAAATATGGCTTTTTCCCTCCCATGACAAAACAAGCGTAATTAAGCAATCAGGCAATAGAGGTGTATGTTGATTATGTTAAAATGCGCATAGGAGTTAATTGGTTGGTATTTTAAACCATCTATATAGAAAGCAAGTTGTGCATTCAGTAAAATTTCAGTAAAAGATAAATTATGGAAGGATAAGATGCTTTTGAACAAAATATTCCAGTTTAACTTGTTCATTATAAAGTACCATATTTTTTGGAGTATAAGACGCACCGGAGTATAAGAGACAGCTTAGTTTTTGGGGAGGAAAATAGGGGGGGGGGAAATCTGCCTACCAAGTATTAGTCTGACTAAAGTCCTTAGACTCATCAGCTTCAGCACATTAGTTTGCTGGTTTTTATCACCTGCTTGGGGATAAAAAACAGCTTCTAAGCACAACTGATCTTTGGAGAGAAAAGCAGTGAGAAAAGCAGGCAAACCATGGAGATTGCTTCATTCGCTAGCGCCTCGTTAGGGCTGAAAAAAAACTTCACAGCTGAGAATTGGAGGGAGCAGACAAAGCACAGAAGCGGAGATTGCTTCACTCGCTGGCACTTCCTTAGGGCTGAAAAAAAGCTTCAAAAAAGCTACATTCTGAGTATAAGATGCACCTAAATTTTCAGCCTCTTTTAGGAGGGAAAAAAGTTTTATACTCCGAAAAATATGGTACGTTCTGTTTAGCCTTATATAATTAGAATTTTGTCTTCGATGGAATGCAATAAACTGTAAACACTTAACTGACCACTTATCAACATTAAAAAAAATGAAAAGATCAATTTTATGTAGAAGATTATTGGTATGATAAAACTTTCCTTTTTGACCCATTCTTCCATGGATCTGACATATGAGGAACCTCTAATGCAGCATGTGTCTATACTTCACTAATGATATTACGTCTGTATTTTAATTTATGCATTTTAATTATATAGCAAAGAATTGATGATATCAAAATGATCAACTGAAAGCTTTTAAAAAGCAATCAGCGGGTTCAATCATGGTTTTTTTCCCGTGTAAATCAGGATAACTTAAAAACAAAAGCAGAATTAATCATTTCATTAAATGAACAGGGATTTAAATTATAGGGTTAACAATCATCAATGGGCAATCAAATGCATTGTAATCATTTGCATTTTGACACGGAATATTAAAAGCTCAAAATGCCCAAAATTAAATGGTTTTCTAGAGAGTCCCATGGACATTTACTGAGAAATCAAGTCAATTGGTTTCTGTGAAACATTGTCTCTAATATATGTGATATATAGCTCCAGAGTTTTACATGGCTAGAAAGGGGCTTCAGTAAAATCGTAAAATATATTAGAAGAGAAAGGATATTGCTTTGAGATTTCTTTTAATAGGTAATAGGAAGTCATATAAAAGTGGTATAAATAAGTAAACTACTGGAGGGAACAATTATATGGAAATCTCAAAAGCCAATCCTATTCCTTTCCCAATTAGTGGTATATACTGACATTTTTTTGGTCTCTGTAACAAATACCAAGGTAGGTTACAGGAAGACTACATCAGAGATTAAATGAAATAATTCTATAAAGTGAGTTAATATGGCAGAAAAAACGTTTGTGCTTCTGGTTTTAAATGCACATGCACCCATACAGTTGCTATGGTAATTAGCACTGCATTCAAGGTCAAGTGATAGCAGCAGACAAGGAACACAAGCCAAAACAGAGTTCCTGAAAGGAGACTGCCCAAAAGGTTGCCTTTAAAAGGAGCATGCAGAAGAATAGTGAAAATCCAGTCCTGAGATCTAAGTCAAAATTGTCAGCCAGTATAGAGGTCAGAATTCCACAAGCAGAGTCCAAACAAACATCACACAAGAGCCAGAGATCTGGTGATTTCAACAAAGAACACAAGTCAGGACTGTCTCTTAAATCAGACTGCAGCCAGTTGTCTTCAATCAAGGGATTTATTCCCTTGCTTGGCAAGCAGCCTCATACAATATATCTGCTCTGCTCTTTGTTCTGCTAGCTGGATGTATCATCTGATTGTTCCAGTTGTGGTACCTGTGTTTGATCAGTCTTGGCTTTGTGTCTCCCGATGCTGACATTCAACACGTTGTGCTGCAGTTTATTCACATTCAGAATCAGTTTTACGTAAGTTTTTTATTTATTTTACGTACAGCATCTATAGGTCATGCAATCACCGGCATACAATTTTAGTTTAAATAAAGCATCAGCAAATACATGAGAAGGCTAGATTCAATAAGAGCCCATCAATATATTATGTATATATGTGCTTATTTCTGGATTGCAGGGATTTCCAAATTATGTATCACTAGGAAGAAGGAAAAAGATTTTATGGATACAGAAAATGATTGTTCAAGCAGAGTGAATCAGTTCTGCTTCTGAAACAGGACACTTCAGTAATTATTTAAGTTTTCAGAGTCTGAACTTATTTTACTCAATAGCTTCCTTTAAAATTTTCAAGGGAAATGAATTCTGTAAATAAAATAGAATAATACTTCCAAATTTCTAAAAATGTGAGATTGATTGTATTAATCCATCAGAAACCATCAAGAGGAACAGTATATTTATGCTGAATGTGGAGAAAATTCTAAAAGCCTTTCCATGAAACTTTATTAAAATATTAAACAGATAAATAATTATATGAAAAAATGACTGAACTAAATTGATTTACTTACCAAGTTTCTTCCTTGTTTGAAATTTTATGATTTTTAACTCATATCCCTAAGAGCAAAGAATATACTGCATTGTTTCTAACAAATATATATGCCTGTTATGCTCCTATTCATGCATAGATTGATGCTTCAGTTTGCACCCATTTTTACAGCCTCATTCAGATATTGTTATAACCTAAAATCTGGACAGAGAAGAATGATGGACCTCTAGTGATGATGGATCTCTAGTGCTTCTCCCATATCTTCCTATTAGCAGGAAGGTCTTAAATCCTACCCATACTCAGATGTAGTCTCATTCTGTAATCATTTACGCATATGTCGGGGCTGGATTGAAGAAGTCTTCCTTTCATACAAGACTAATAATAACTGAATAACTGAAGTTTTGGTACAATTTACCTTTACTGATTTTTCAATGCCTTAGACACTTTAATTTTTTCTGTTTTAGACACTAAGGTTATTCTTTATTCTATTCTTTATTCTCTATGCTATGTAATTATTCTACAATTACCTCAGCAGTGAAAATGTACAAAATGGCAGACTATGCATTACGTGGGACCTTATGAGGATATGCTTATATTGCCTATACGTTCATCACAAGCTGCATCCAACCAGCCAGTCAGGAATTTGTGAACGATGGTACTGACTTCTGGCAAATGGCAACCCCACTCATCCACATTAATATGTACTTTAGCAAGCTACTCCCTTGACGCAGGAATGGTGAGGGAAGGGAAGGACAGTGGTTTATTAAAGACTGATGCCAAGAAATACAGCCACAAAATATTCTTTTAAGTGGAACATATTTTACTTATTGTATGTGTCAAGGCAGGCTACCAAATAAATAGTACAATAAAATGGAAAAAATAAATGAAATAAAAGATATGAAATAAAAAGTTTAATATTGCATCTATATATATATATATATATATATATATATATATATATATATATATATGCAGTAATGAAATTATCATATGACATTACATCCTGGAATTCATATTACAGGCTTAAAACCACGGAGAACATGGATAGTTACTTTGATAATTGTGGTTGTAAAAGAAAAACATTGCTTAAACAGAACCAGTAAATAGCAGTAAGATTACTGCTTAAATTATCATGTTCTCTAACCTTATTGTAAATATTTTAAATTTGTGTGGTGCTTTTTGTCAGTCTTGATTTCTGGCAACAGCCTGGATACCATGCTGCAATATTTTTGCCAGTATTCAGAAGTGCTTTGCCATTGCTTCTTAAAGTTGAGAAAGAGTGACCCAAAATCACACAGGTTGCCTTTTCCCAATGGAACAAAGAATTAGAATTTACAAACTCCTGGTTTTTAGTATCATAACTTTAACCACTATATCAAACTAGTTCTCATTATTAAAAACTGTACTCATTAATGGAAGACAGATGGGTAACATATGTTTATGGTTGGTCACATAGTCAGCCAGGTGATTAGTCTGGCATTTTGTCCATCTACTGAGCCTTTCCCAAGGAGCTGGTTTGATGATATTACAGGTATTGTAGGATGTAAACTGTTTCAAGTAAAGCTGCCTTTTGCAATTGACTGCTGGTGATTTTGTCAATGTGATGATATTAAAATGGTAGTCCAGCTGTTTTGGAATCAAAAAAATCTAATTGAGTTTGAGTTAATTGATCTAGCAGTTAATCCATTTTTTTCCATTTGTATCTATCATGCATGATTCAGAAAACTATCTGCCAGCTGCCTTCAATTTGGCAGTTCAAATCTCACCAGAATCAGGGCTGACTCAGCCTTCCATCCTTCTGAGGTGGGTAAAATGAGGACCCAGATTGTTGCAGGCAATGTGCTGGCTCTGTAAAACCGCTTAGAGGGGGCTGTAAAGCACTGTGAAGTGGTATATAAATCTAAGTGTTATTGGTTTTTAAAGGGATCCCTGAATCACACTACTGTATATAAGACTACTGCTTTAGTCATGACTGATTTTGATTATGGCATGGCCACAGATTTAAACTTTATATTATTTTAAATTTAAACAGTATATTATTGTGCTTGTTGAATTCTATACTACTCTTTTAGATTTAAAAGAGAAATTCAATCATTTGAGATACAGTCATGAAGAGCAACAATATGCTTAGAGAAGCCTAACATAGCTATCAACACTTCTAAGATGATTAACCGATCTCAACCATATGTATGCTTGTTCCCTTTATTGCCCTTAGTGTATGAACTGCTAACAGGATTGGGTCCATGATCCCTGTACAGTAATATCCTATTATGGCTCTCCTTTATGTATTCTTGTTCTTTTTCACTGTCATAATAATTAAACCAGATTAATATTTCTTTGATATTCATGTATAGATTCAGGTATTAGATCAGTGTTTCTCAGCCTGGACAATTTTTGTATGGACTTCAACATCTAATATTCCTCAGGAAATGTGGTTGAGAAGCACTGTTTTAGATTATTGAAGGAGCATATTTCCCATATCATTATGGTAAATAATGAATCATTCATTAATTTTGAGCTCTTCATCACACTTCACGATTTAAATGCTTTGTATTGCTGTTAAAAGCTAGCAGAGACCTTTGGTTTCCACAGAAAAGGGGGTACTGCCTCTTTTTCAAATAAGGTGCCCAAATAATTAAATGATTGTGACACAACATGCATTCTACAGGTTTCTCTTCCTTAGAGCAAAATTAACTATAAAAATTAACAAGAAACTTGCTGCTTATTTGTACAATTATTTTCACTCTGTGTTGTAACAACAGCATACTTCATACATAGGAAATTGTGGACAAAAAAATTGATACTAATGAAGTATTACTCATCTGCTTTTGCCCTTGCAGGATTTTGCTGAAAAGGAGAAGGCAGCAGCAAGGGCTTTGGAAGATGTGAAGGCTAACTTTTACTGTGAATTATGTGACAAGCAGTACCATAAACACCATGAGTTTGACAACCATATCAATTCCTATGATCATGCACATAAGCAGGTAAACCTAAAAAGCCATGTCAAATATTTTGCTTTATTGCATCAATCCTGGCAAACCAGCCGTGTAATCAGTTTGTAGGAGGTGATTACAGTTTATGTTCAAGTGCTGTTACACAACTTGTTATGCTTAGACCAATTCATATAATCAGTTCAATAGTTCAGCCTCAAGTGAAATGACTTTTTAAGATTACCAAAGCTCCCATTTCATAGTATCAATTTTTATTATAAAAGAGGGCAAGATTATTTACAGATTTCTATTGTTCCTAGACCTAGCCCAACACAACTTTGGAAATAAATTATGTAAAAGAGTTCAGGATTATGTCTATTTGTCCTTCAGCAGAATAAATTTCATAAACATTGAACTGACAGCAATCACAATTGGTATACTGGGAGAAACCAACAGAAGAAAGATCAAATTTGAAAGTAGGGTAGATCCATACCTTCCATGGCCATAGAGGGATTGAAAAAAAGAATGTCCAAAAAGAATACTTTCCTGTGTTACTCCTTCCAAACCAATGGAAGGTTGGAATGAAAATATGTAATTAGAATTGAAGTTCGTTCTGTACTTCTGTCAACACACATATAGGTAGAATCCTAATGCCAAATACATAATTCTCCATAGCTTGAACAGAATGAGATAAATTGAGTATCTGTGGAGAATAAGTGACAATAACAACAATAAGATTGAATTTGAAAATGAACTGAATCAGGGCAAAGATTGTGGAACAAAAAAGAATTCAAAGAAAAAAATTACCTTAGGAGAAGGTAATCAGGTAATAGTAGGAAAGTTGCTGATTTCTTTACATCCCAACCATGTGACCCAAAACAGATATTTTACTATGTGATGTATTTACTGCTGCAAAAAGAGCTTCTTCTAGTTATGAAAATCATACAGTAGACTAGACTGATACTTGCAAAGCACAAAAGAACCAAGATTTCTTATTGATTTAATTTCATCTACTGCCATTAGGTGATTTCAGATTGCAATGATCCAACAGCCATAAAATTTTATTTTCTTTTCCACTGCCTTTTTTTATCACCAAGGAGACAAATTTAAAATAAATATATAAAACATTTTATAAAATTATAAAACCATATAAAACAGGTTATTTTTTTAAAATAAAAAATATCATTACTTAATTGATCCATAAAAAGCTTATAATAATATAAAATTCATTTTGTATATGAGGGTAATCCTATGATGTCCCTTTCCTACAAAAAAAAAGCATGTATTTCCAAAAGCAACTTTTTCTGTTAATCAGAATTGTTTGCTTCATATTGATCGAGTCCAAGCATTGCCATCCTTTCCTTTCCTTTGCATATACTTATAGGCCTCCCTACATAGACATATATTCTAACATGTTTCTCAGAAACAGTGATTTATTTAAAATAGAAATGTCATGTTGATGCATCAGTTGTTTTTTCTTGGTTGCTTTCCATTATAAAAAAATCATAGTTAAAAGCAATAAAACTCTTTTTAATTTTAAAAACTGCACTTAATGCTATAAGAGAAAATGACAGATTAGTAGTGAAAGAACAAATGGCCTATATTTTTAATCAGACAACATAAACCTCACACAAAGTAGGAGTATGTGTTTTTTTCAATGCTGCTCTACAAGGTAAAGTACAGCTGAACTAGCTGATCCATAGAGTGAAGGAATAAGCATGAAAAAGATCTATTTATCCAATTCTACCAACCATTTAATAATTATCAAAGTTGCAAATGTGTAAATAGAGTAACCTTTAATTTGGTATTGCTGGTGACATATTTTTCTTTATTGTAAAATTATAGCTGGCATTAAAAGTTCCCATTAGATCCATCTATATCAGTTGTGAAATGACTGCGCCCCTGGCATAGAGAAGGCTAAGTAACAGGGTTTATTAGCTGATTGAAATTCATTTTTAAACACAGCCTGAACAAGAGAATTAGTATAAAAGTTCATGAGAAGAGAAACAATTATGCACTTTCATTAACTCCTTTTAAAAAGTGTATTACTGCACAACGTTCCTTGAAATTGGCATAAGTAACCTGCAGTTGATATTTTCATGCCGCATTATAATCAGAGAAAGTAGCAATCTATAGTTCTTCTGATTTTGTCCATAACTTCTTTCTAGATAAATTGAATTAAAGACCACCTTCAAATAAAAAAGTAGCATAAAGGATTTCTTCTCAGCAACTAGAATACAGCATTTTTAGCTAAATTGTGCAGTTCAAGGCATTAATCAACATCTAACTGAACTTCTGTTCTTGGGCAATACCTTATTTGGATTAACCAATCAATAAATTTCCCTTGTCATATGATTTATTAAGGTTAATTGGCTAAATGAGAGGCAGTTTGAAGTAGTGATTAAGGCACCAGGCTTAACAACATAGAACACTGAGTTCTAGCCCAATCTTAAGCACACAACCGCCTTGATTCCCAATGCTTTCAAGCCTAGAAAGAAAGAAGTAAGCTATTTCTGAAAAGTACAACCCAAAAGGCAACGTGGATTGTTCTTGACCTATAGTTAAAGACTGAATAATTTCACATACAGATATTTCCCATTTTTGACAATTGTGAAGCATTAAAATTCCTTAAACTGATTTCAATGGAAAATATTTTAAAGACTTTAAAGACATCATAACATTGCAAAAAGCAGAAATAGTTGTTCCTCTCATAAACTGTGCTTTGATTATATGCTGCCAAATTGGCGTTGACTTTTACAGGGACATAGAACATCTTCAGGATTATCTATTCTTGACATAGTCATTTAAGTCTTCCAGCAACTCACCTATAATTCCAACTATTAGCTGGTTCTTATCTTCTTCTCCTCTTTTCCCAGTATCATAGAATTTTCCATAGAGATAGGTTTTAAATAATGTCTAAGGTATGGTAATTTAAGCATGGTCGTTTATACTTTGAATGAGAATTCTAAATTGAATTGTTCTGGGATTCTTTTGTAATTTCCTTAGCTATCCATGACATTTTTACCCATTTTCACCAATACCACTATTCAAAAGTATTAGTATCTATCCTGTTTCTTCAAAGATAACTTTTTGCTTCCATGAGGTATTACAGGAAATACCATTGAAGGCACTAGCCAAATTTTTGTGAATGTGGACATATTACAGTATCTAAATTTATTTTCAAGGCTTTCATTGCTCACCTGTCAAGAGCTAGTCTGAAGTACATTACATCAACAGCTGGCTCCTTTACTGTTGATAATCAATTAGAAAAGACAAAATATTTCTACCAATTCACAATTTTCATTCTCAGATTTAAAGCTATAAATTGAACTTGTCATTATTTTGGTCTTATTTAAATTTAATCTTAATTCCTCTTTTTTTTTTTTACTATAGGCATTGACTTTCATTACTAGAACTAATGGAACATTTGCATTTTCAAATGTTAATGTGTCATCAGCAGAGTGCTGATTATTAATGTTTCTTCCTCCCATTTTAAAACTATTGCACATCCTCTTCCAATCCAGTCATATTAAGCATGTAAATTGAACAAATAAAGAAAATACTATATATAACTTTGTCTCACTCCTTTGCTGACCTGGAGCCAGTCTGTTTAATTTCTGTCATATGTATTGCTGCTTCCTGTCCTACATATGGAGTGCACATGAGATAGTGAGATGTTCTCCCATTTTCCTAAAGACATTAATAGGTTGACATAATAGGTTTCCAACATAATGGAAAGCCATTATAATCTCTATACTACTAAAACTCCTGTAGTCATAATCTTTAATTGAGTATATCAGACAACAATTTTTGAACCAAGGAACCTCTAATGGTTCAATTTACAGAATGAACCCAAAATCTAGACCCATAACTCCCAACGAAATACAATTTAGAAAGGTTGTGGCTTCTTCGGTATTATTGCCTGCTGCTATAGTGCTTAATTTCTACTGCATCATATGATCTTCATTTCAACTATTCTGTGACTGTTTCCCAGCCAGTCTCACAATCAGTTCCTTCCTCCCCCACCTAGTAGCAACCAATTATCTGTCTGTTAGGAAGGGAAAAAGGAAAGTTTTATGATGCTCCCTGCAAGATTCCCACAAGGAAACTGAGTGGAGAAGCTAGCAGGTAGTCTGAAGTTGCTCCTGCGTCCACTGATTATTATTTTTTTTAATCCACCCTTGATCATTCTGTTTTTTCTGTTTGGATAAGAAATGCCTCTGAAATAATGACCCAAAGGGACACTGGTTATCTAGTAAAACATAGTTGTAATTAGTAAAACATACATTGATTTTTTATATATATATATTATTTGGCTTTCTCAAAGTATGCTAGCAATACTGTGTCTTTTTTCTCAATCTTTTCTAAAACCAGTTTGAATATCTAGTCTTTCAATTCCAAATGGAGCCCTAATCTGCATTGGATGAACCAAAGCATTTTATTTTATTTTTTTGCTAGCATATGAAATTGTAAATATTGTATGATAGTTGCACAATATGTGAAGTTGCCTTTATCTGATATTGGAATAAAGATTGACATTTTCCAGTTTTGTAGTTCTTGTGTCAGTCTCCAGATTTATGGATATAGTTTCATTAGAACCTTTATGGATTCTTCTGTTGCTTTCTATATTTCTCTAATCGATAATAACAGTCTTCTAACATCATTTTATAGTATTAGAAATTCTTGCAAAAAGGAAATATCTTATAAGGTACCTTGGGTACCTTATCTCTGCTGAGCATAATTTTAGTTATACTCCTTCCATGTTATTTCATCATCTTTAAATAAATTACTATTGTCCATTGCATCTTTTTGCATGCCAATTCGAGACTGGAACTCCTTCTGAGTTAAGACAACTTCTGAAATGCATTTTTCCATGTCTGTTTCCATATTTTATAATTTTAGAGATGTGGTAATAGTGATTCTTATGTCTTCTATCATCTGTCTGAAATTCTAATAAAGAAAATATTTGTGCTCATCATTGAAGTTAGGATCGTTGTTGATCTCTGAACTTGGTGGTTTTCTTGCAGATGTTTCATTATTCAAACTAGGTAATA